TTCGGATGGAGATAAACTTGGGCCAATTATTCCATCGCATGGTCTACGACAAGGAGACCCTATATCACCCTAGATTTTTATTCTCTGTGCAGAAGGGTTGTCCAGACTAATTTCAGCTGCCATTAATGAAGGTTTGCTCCATGGCTATGCTATTAAAAGGGGTGCTCCGATCCTTTCACACCTATTTTTTACGGATGACAGCCTGCTGATCTTCAGAGCCAAACTTGAGGAAGCTATAAAAGTTAAGGAGCTAGTTGCTACTTATGGGAAAGTTGTTGGACAAGACATTAATTTCACTAAGTCTTCCGTTTGCTTTTCGAAGAATACGTCAAAACAGGATAGAGCAAATGTATGTGCAGCTCTTGGGGTAGAAGAGAAGCAAGACTTGGGATGTTACTTGGGCCTGCCTTCAAAAGTGGGAATCAATAAAAAACAAGTGTTCCAATTCTTGAAGGATCGTATGTGGAAAAAATTGAATTCTTGGAACAAAAGATGCTTGTCTCGTGCAGGTAAAGAAATAATGCTAAAGACAGTTATGCAAACCTTGCCTAATTATGTCATGAATTTATTTTTGTTGCTGAAAGGAATTTGCGTTGATTTGTAGCAGATTATGGCCAGGTATTGGTGGTCGAAGGGTATTAATCATGATAAAGGAATCCATTGGATGAGTTAGGATCGGATGTGTTTGCCGAAATGTGCAGGAGGTCTTGGGTTTAAAAAGTTACGAGAATTTAATTTAGCTATGTTGAGTAGAAATGCTTGGAGAATCTTTTCCCAACCAGATTCTTTAGTTGCGAGATTGCTGAAAGCTAAATATTTCCCTCATCGTGGCTTCTTAGATTCGGAACTTGGAGCAAATCCCAACCAGATTCTTTAGTTGCGAGATTGCTGAAAGCTAAATATTTCCCTCATCGTGGCTTCTTAGATTCGGAACTTGGAGCAAATCCCAATTATCTTTAGAGGAGCTTGTGGGAATGTAGGACTTTGTTGTCTATTGGAGCATGTAGGAGGATTGGAAATGGGAGGAACACGCTAGTCTAGAGTGATCCTTGGGTACCATCTCTACCAGCTTCAAAAATATTCATGCAACAACTGCTAATACTTCTATTTTTTTAGTTGCGGATCTCATCATCAATTGCTGTTGGGATGAGAATGTTATTCGATCATTATTTCAGGAGCAAGAGGCAGCAGCAATTTTGGCAATCCCATTATTCCAAGTACAGCAAAATGACGGTTGGTTTTGGAAGCTTGAGAGAAGGGGCGTTTTTCTGTTAAAAGCCTTTATAGAGTTCAAACGCAATTAAATTTGAATGCAGAACAAGAAGAGCTCAAGATGATGTGGTCTCGATTTTGGAAAATAAGCGTCCCTCCGAAAGTTCAGAACTTGGTCTGGAGGGCCTGTAATTCAGCTATTCCATGCAAAGAAAATCTGCTGGTATGGAGGGTGGCGGTTTCCAATGCCTGTGTGTTTTGCAATGGGGGAGGAAAATCGGTAAAACATGTTTTATTTGATTGCAATTTCGCCAAGTGTTGTTGGCAGGTTCTTGGTGTTGGTTTCATTGAGTCTGAGGCTTTGAATTTAACCACATGGCTGTGTGAAATGTTAAAAATGATAAAGGTTGAAGACTGCCAATTTGTTCTAATGTTGTTATAGGCAATATGGGAACAAAGGAACCAATTAGTTTGGCATGGCAGGTCTAGGAGCTCAACAAAGGAACCAATTAGTTTGGCATGGCAGGTCTAGGAGCTCAATTCAAGTCGTCTCTTATGCAAGAAGGGTGCTGAATGATTGGCTATTGGCTAAGAGGGTCAGCAACATGGTCCAAGCAAATTATGTGGATGTGTGTTGGTTGAAACCTGTTATTGGTATGGTGAAATGTAATGTGGATGCGGCAATATTTGCCAATAATAGTGTGGGTCTAGGTTTGGTGGTTCGTGGACCCCAAGGAGACTTTATTGGTTCTTTGCAAAAAAGGGTGAATGGAAGATTTGAACCTTTAATAGCTGAAGCCTTAGCCATTAGGGAAGCATAGGGAAGCATTAAGTTGGATTAAAAGGCAGAGTTGGTCCAACGTGATTATTGAGTCAGACTCTCAAATTTGTGTGCAGGCTTTGGTTGACCCTCTATATGAGGATGATTCTGCATTTGGTTCTCTAGTGTTAGATTGTAAGAGTCTTATTTCTGAGATTGTGAGTGTAAGCATCTTTTTTGTTTGTCGGTCTGCTAATAAGGTTGCTCATGTGTTAGCTAGAGCATCTTATTCTGTGACAGATCAGGTGGAGGAGTTGACTATTCCACCCTTTTGTATTGAACAAGCTTTGAGGTTGGATGACTAATGAAATTTCCATTATTATTCAAAAAAAAAAAATACATGCAAAAAGTTAGTTAATATTAAATAATATTTAAAGTAATGCAAATATAATAAACTAATCAAATATATAAGATTTCTAATAATAATAAATTAAATAAATAAACTATAAACAAAATGTAATAAACTAATCAAATATATAAAATTCGTAATAATAATTAATTAATTAATTAAATAAAAAAATATATATGTTTTATTAATATTAAATTAAATATATATTAGAAATTGTAATCGAAAAAATTCTATCCAATCTTAATTAGGAATGAAAATTCTATTATGTAAGTTTTGATTGAATCCAATGTTAAATTAATTATATTTATAATTTTATTGCAAATTAATTATTTTATATTAAAATCTAAAATAATTAAATTTATAAATTATAAATTGAAATTCTTTTCTTTTTCTTATATTTCCTTTTGTTGGCTTTGTTAATATTGTTAGTTACTTTTTGCCTTATCATTTTCTTGAATGTATTATTTATCCTTAATCTGCTAAGTAAATTTCTTAATAATTTTCAATTAGTATAAATTTGTTAAATTTTTAAAAAAATTTATTTAAATCATGATTGTAATTTTTTTAATATTTAACGCTCCTTTTTTTTAAGTTGTTGCATATTTTACTTTAAAAATTTATTATACTTTGATGTTAATATTACATCTATTATTATGGTAATAAATGACAAATATTTAAATTATAACTCAATTGAAAATTTAATCTATCAAATAACTATATTTTCTTTGGCTACTATTAAGGATTTTTTGGCTTTTATTATCAATAATTTATTGAAAACTCTTTAGTATCAAAAGTTTCTTTGTTATCGCTATATAAAGGAACTTCTCACTTTATTATTATTAATAGCTGATATACTCATTTTAACTTTTTAATTTTTTTTAATTTGGGTAAACTATCAAAAAAAATTTGAATTTGATTACCAATAATTTAAATTTGATTACAATAATTTATATTATGCATTTATTTTTTATTAAATATGACGAGATTTGATCAATGGTTATTTCTTTTCCAACTTTATAAACTTTTTTTTTTTGTCAAAAAAAATTTATTGTAAGAAAATTTATTAAAAATTTTTTCTTTAAATATATATAGTGTATGATAAGTGGTTTGCACATATTTTTATATATTGTAATGAATTATAATTAAAAATAATTATAATTAAAAATATTAAATTTTTATATTGTCTTTGTAAAAATTAATAAAAAATATATAAAAAATAAATTATAAATAATCATTCTAATGAGTATGTTCAACGAGTAATTACATGCGATGCACATTCATAAATACTAGTTTATATTAAATAAGAGAATTATTTCAATTAAAATTCTTGAAATATTTTTTTAGGTTTCAATTAAAGTATTTTGAGCTATGTATTTTTAATATCGTCATTAAAGTAAAAACTTATAACTCGAGATTTCATAAATTTATATTTTAATAAAATTATGTTATTCGCCTAATGACTAGTTAATAGAGAAGTAGATCAAAATTGAAAAGTTTTGGCTGATGAAGTCATAATTAATCTTGATTGAGATTGAATTCTCAATCTAAGTTTTGAGTGTAAACGATTATTTTTTGCTTCCATAATATTTGTCACATTTAAGAAAATAATTTGTTCTATAATATTTTTCACATTTGTAATTTCAAAAAATAATAAATTCATATTTACCTTTTTTTATATGATCGATAATTATTATTTCAATTTAATGATTTTTTTAGAGAATTAATGTTAGATTAAGGGTAATATAGTCAATTTACTCAATAATTTATTGTAATTAGGGTAATATAGTCAATTTACTCAATAATTTATTGTAATTTAAATAAATTTAATGGTTTTCTGAAGAAACGTGAAATTCCAAATGTGATAAGTAAATATAATATACGGTAACTGATTCATTATGGCTATTTTTCATAATTGGAAATTCGTTATTTTTTGTTTTTTATTTATAATTATAATTACAACGGTTAATTATTGTTTGCTTTCTGCCATTGCTATCGTTAATGAATGACAAATGGCGTAAGGCAAGGACTTCGTTTGATACTTGTTCAATAACTCTTCAATAAGTTAAATTTCTTTAAAGTTTGAGATTTTTTCTAATAATTTCAAATTTTTTTAAATTCAAAACTTTTCTCATTAACCAAAATAAAGGTACTGACAAAAGGTTTCAATTGCTAACCGTTTCTGTCCTCGTAATAGCACTTTGTTTGGGGTAAAGAAAGAGGCAGGAAAGAAAACTTAAAGAAAAAAAAAAATTTGTGAAAAGAAATTATTTTTCTTTATTTGAATATAGGAGAAAAATAAATTACTTTTTTCCTTTTTTTAGAAAAAATCCTAATGTTAAGAGAAAATTTTAGAAGAAATATATCACTTTTTTTTTCCTCATTTGATACTCCTTTTGTGTGTATCTAAATAAGGAAAAATAACAATCCTTATTATTTTCTTTCCTCCTATGCTTACTATACCTCCATCTCCAAACATTGCCTAGAACTTTTTTACTGGACAAATCAGCATACTTGAAAACCATGGGATACGTACAAACAAAATAAAAATAATAAACAAATAAAAATTTTTTTTATAATAAGCTAATGACCTTTCTATAAGCTAATTGAAATTCTCTTTCCAATGGCATCATGTCCTCAAAAATCACAAAATCAGACAATTAATCCATCCATGGAGGGTGATATGGTTGGGTTAATCATAAATCAACTCCACAAGCAATTCCATGGATCTCTTGATCTCAATTACCCAATTTTAAGTTCAACCTCTCAACCTCCTTTGCAATCTAAGCTCTGTTTTGATAGAGAGGTAATTAGACTTCCAATTTGTTGAATAAATCCCATGTTTTCTTCTCATTCTTCTTTTCACCTAATTTTGCTTTTTTTTTTTTTTTTTTTTTTTGCTTTTTTTTTTTTTTTTTTTTTTTTTTTTTTTAATGGAATAGTGAGATAGTTAAAAGAACTATCTTTCAATCACTTGTACTTTGTTGCAATTTTTCTTTTTTTCTTTTTTTTTTTAGAAAAGAAATTGCATGTTTTAAATAAACATCGCTCTGCTCTTCTCCTTATATGATGAAATGATTAAACAACCCAAGATACTTTTAAATTTAGCAAATTATAATTATTAAATAATTATGATATATTCTTTTTTAGAAACAAAATAAACTTTAGTTTAGAAAAAGAAAAAGATTTAATTTATGGCCTAAATACTCTTATAAGCATTTTATCTTGCACTTAATTGTAACTGTTCAAGAATCTTTAATTATATGGTCTATTATTCAATTTAAAATTATTTTATCTATTATAAAGGTAAAATGTCCAATAAGGGAAAGCAAAAAGAGAGCCTTAAAGGAAATGGAAATGGAGATTGGAGAAGAAGAAGAGAAGAAGAACGATGATTTGAAGCTTAGACTGTCACCTCCAGGGATGAAACCAAAGGATGAATCATCAAACCAATTATTGGTATTGATGGGGTGTAGTCATTGCTTCATTTATGTTATGGTCTCTCAGACAGATCCCAAATGTCCAAATTGCAAGAGCCCCATTTTGATTGATGTTTTTAAACAGGGCATTGCCAAAAGAACAAAAAGGTGTTAGTCAGTACACCCTTTTTATTTTATTTCCTAAGTGAAGTGGTTTCTTTTTTTTTTTTTTTTTTTTTTTTTTTTTTTTTTTTTTTTTTTTTTTTTTCTTTCTTTCCTTTCTTTTTCTAGCAGCTTTTAAGACAATGAATTATCAGAGTTTTACAATTAATGAAAGGAGATGATATGAGGATACTGAATTATTATTAGTTTAATGATTTATTGTCTTTCCAATGTCTACAGGCGGAGACATCAATTAGCAAATTGGATTTAGGCTGAATTTGGACACCTGCCATATGATGGCAAATAGTTTATAAAGCAGGCGCATTTCTCCTAAAACAAATGAAAAAAAAAAAAAAAAAAAAAAAAAAAAAAAAAAAAAAAAAGGAGATATATTTGACAAAGGTTTCAACATGTCCAAAAAGGCCCTTCTAATTCCATGAATGTACAATTAAACCTACAAATATTAAAACATGCGAATTTAAATTCTGGATTAATGGTTGAAGAGGAGTAAACCATTAAAAATACTATGTAGTTCGCATTTGTTTATTATTATACCCTGTTTCTAACTTAATCCTTAAGATACTCTAATCCTACTTTTGTTATAATTGAAACTCAAACAACAAATTAAGGTTTTGAAATGAATAAAATAATATATACTGGGACCCATCTGTGTAAGTAGAGTTAAAATTAACGCATCTCTGACCCTAGTTAACTTGAAACGTGAGTTTCACCGTTTTAACTTACCCAACGTCTGTTGTCTCTTCCATTTCATCGTTGTTCCATTGTTTCTCAGAACAAAACCCTGTTCATCGTTATCTAAGTGGAATGAGGTAAAGGAAGAAAATGCATTGTGAGGAGAATTAATAGAAGAAATGGCTAGCCAATACACTAAAGGCACGTTTATCCATATAGATATCAGTTATTGAAAAATGGTGGTCATTCCCTTTTTTCCATATGCTTTCATTGCTAGATTGGAGTATCTTAGGGGTTAAATTTAAAATATGGTATGATTATAACAACATGCAAAGTACATGGTATTTTTAATGATATTCTCGGTTGAAGAGTACATCACTTCTTAAAGAGTACATCACCTCTGTTGTATTTATATAGAGAAAATTTTCTTTCACGGTGCTCTATTTATATAGAGAAATTTTCCTTTTATGGCATTCTATTTATATAGAGAAAATTGTTTAAAATGGTAACTTTGAGACTAATGCGAAAGCAAAAAATCCAATATGTCCTTGTTTTGATTTTTAGTTTAAACATTGATTTTTGGAGAATTTCAAAAAAGTGAGACATTATTGTGGTTGGCAATTAAAGTTCCAAAATAGATTGAATTGTGCATTAAAAATTGAGAACTTCTTCACATTATGCACATATATTAAATTTTTGGAGTTGCAAGCATAGTCTGAATTATATATACAATTTCCACTTATGCTTAATAATTAAGTGTGTACGTATAATGAGATTTACACACAACTCTACATCAAGAATAAAAGAAAATTTCCTTCCAAATGATAGTGCTTAAATCAAAATTATTGTGCTCATTTATATTTACCTATAGTTGTGTACATGTACAATTTGATTCTCATAAACAATTTTACCTTATAAACAACTTAAAGTATTGCAAATATATAAAATAATTAGTCTACATTTATAATAACAATATGTGGACGTTTTTTTATATGCAGTGCACATACATTAAAATGTGCGCAACATAAATTAATAATTAGTGAACATATTGAGCAGCGGAGCTCATATTTTTGTTTTGCTGGAAGTCTAAGCAAAAACTTCTAATTTAAGTAACACATCCTCTCTCTCGTCATTTACTACCCTTTATTAAAACTCAGGGACCATTTAATTATCTTTTCAGGGATAAGGTAGAAAAAAAATTCACAAAAGACCACCTCATCAATCCTAGAGAAATTTTAACTTTCTCTATGTAAATAGAACGGGAGAGTATTAATTAATTCATTTAATTAATTAACTAAAATCCATTAACATTTAATGGGCTCACAATATTTAATTAACCTAACTTAAATTAAATAGAGATGGACTTTAATTAAATTAATCAATTTAATTAAAAGTATCCAAAAAAATTATAAATTGGTGTAAACAATTTCCTTCCGCACATAGATGCGTTAGAAGGCCATCTTTAAGTGAATATAACGTGAACCTTGAAAGGAATATCCTAGATATCCTTGAGTCTCATAAGTCATGGGTAACTAGAATAACATGCTATGATTACCTAATTAGAAATGAATATTTACAATTACATAAATCAATGAGATATCCTTATGAACCATCGATCACAATGTTTGTGATCTGTTAAGTTCTCAGAGTTTGAGGTGTAGTAAATTGTGAATTAACCCGTACTTAGGGTAAATTTAGAATATATATACTGGATCTGGGGCAGTTGTGTTAGGATAAGGATTGTGATTCCTATATTACTTGTTAATTTGAGTTTATTTAGGAGTCTAATATTATTTATTTAATATATTTTATTATTATATGTTAACAGTAGTCCCCTTTGTTTTAGGATAAGGATTGTGATTCCATATATTACTTGTTAATTTGAAGTTTATTTAGGAGTCTAGAATATTATTATTTAATATATTTTATTATTATAATGTTAACAGTAGTCCCCTTTATTTTATTGGGTTCATTTTATGTTCCATGGTAGTGTTTGTGTCTTTGCAACCATTCTGTTATTATTTATTTATGTATTTTATTATTATTATTATTTATATAGGTTTTATTTATGTATTTATTATTATTATTATTTTATATTAGGTTTTTATTGCGTTACTTTATGAAGGTTTTTATTTCAACGAGAACGAGGCGTTGGTCTTAGAGGGGAAGAGCACCCGAAGAGTCGCTTCATTTAATGAGGGGACTCTTCAGTACCTCACCTAGCCTATATAAGGCCTCTATCTCTCTTCATTTGTTTCACTTTCTATTTCTCAACCACCAGAGAGTCTCTCTCTAGAACTTCTTCTCTCTCTAACTTTCAAGTAAGTTTTTTTTATATATATCTTCTTTTTTCCTTTTTTTTCATTAGCTGGGATCATAAGTTCCTCTAGAGATGAGGATGTTCAAGTATTACATGACCAATCCGGAGATGAGAACTTCGAGGATATAGACTCAGGGGCGAGCGAGGCTAAAGATAGAAAGGAGAATATTAGGATCGCCAACATTCCCTTTGATGTGGATGAGGGCGAGTTGTTGGATATATGTTTTATGTACAGTATTGTGCCAAAGTATAAATTGATTAGGCCTTCAGGGAACATAAGGGTGACCGAGCCATTGGATGAAGACTCTATTATTGATGTATGAAGAAAGTTTCCAATCTAGGGTTCGGTTTCCTTTGTCTAAATCTTTAAGATCGTTCTTTAACAAATATAATATCAACATTAGTCAATTGCACCCCAATGGCTTGATGTTCTTGTGCGCCATAGTTGCCCTAGCTCGCCAAAATGGATACACTTTAACAACTCAAGCAGTTCTGAAGCTATCTTCTGTCTTTCATGTTCTTTTTCATGATTAAAGTAAGCTGAATTTGGGAAAATGTGTTATTGGATGACATTAAGGGCTATTTTTCGATCCTTTTTATTTGGATGCCTTTTTATTTTTGCAATCTGTGTGGTGAGCTCTTCATCAAAAGTTGTAGGTCTTATCTTAGCTTTCCAACCAATCCTCTTAGAGAGTTTGGGATACATAATAGCTCCAACTTATGGCTCAACTTATGGATGAAACACCCAAACTGACTCTGTTATGCCAGGCCACATGCATTTTTGAATTGAGTGCCCATTTTGACCACTATAATAACAAGATTATGTCTGAGTTCTTCATGAAAGTTTTTGCCCTGTATCTTAAGACTTCATTGGTTTTGGATTGGTTTAATTTGAGAGTTTGGATAAGTAGGAATTTAATAAACATTGGACTTGGTTCTGCTGAATCAGGTCTGGACTGTTGGTATGTGTTCTTAGCTTTTTTTTACCATCTTAAGGATTGATCTAGGCTGTGTTCCCTTCAGAACATTTGTATCATTTTGTCTTAGCTTTCTAATGAATCAAATTTCATTCAATTTGGAGACTTATCACTTAAGTTATGTCTTAAAAACATAGCAAGGGTCAAGGTTACTTTAATGCTGGAAATTTCCTATGTTAAGTAATTATATGTAAGTAAGAGAATTTTCAAAGTTTATATTATGATTTTATGAAAACTAAAGAAAGAGACAAGTTTTATGAGAAGTGTTATGACTTAAGAAATAAAGCTATGTTTTTGGGCTCTATTATACTTGGTAAGCTATGTTTTCGGGTTCTAATATACTTGGTGTGAATTTGATGCGTGATATGATTTATTATGTAAGATGAGCATGCTCGGCATTTAATGCCTTTATGATAAGAAGCTATAATCATATGCTAAGCGCGTGGGTATCTTATGTTAGGGCGGAAGCACTCTATATGTTATGATAAGTTGGCGACTTAAGGCCATTATGAATAAGCTATGAAAACTTATCTACTTCTCTTTCCCCTAAGTGTATGTGAGCCCCTTGGAAAATATTTTTTTAAAGGAAATAAATGAATGAAGATATATATTATTTTAGGTAAAACTTAGCTTGGACAATAAATGATTATTTGTTGTCAAATGCAAATTTTTTTAAAGCATGACATATTCAAGTATATGTTTATTAAAATAAACAGTAATAATTATTGGTATAATTGAATGCCCAAGTAATAGATCATTATGAGAAGAAAGATTAAAATATTATATGATCAATTGTAAGTTTATTTAAATATATTCTTTTGTTGTAAGTTTATTTAATATTTCTTTTGCTATAAAGTAAATGTATGTTGAAGATTTAATGATTTTATGATTGTAAATCTTTAAATGAAAATTTATGTTTTAGGTGTGTTGTCATCATAACATTTGTAAGTTTGTGATTTATGAGCACCACTGAGTTTTATACTTAGTGTGTTGATTTTTATCACAAGCAGGTTAAAGACCGTGGTTGCTGCTTGAAGACCAAAAGAGTAACATCAGAGCTGAAGAGACTATTTTGGTA